CTGTACTCACATGGGCTACCAACTCTCTGTACTTCCACTTTCAGGAGGATCTGATGCCCCCTTCTGGCCTGTGGGGGCACTGCATGCACTCAGTATGCAAGACATATATGCAAAACACCATTCACATAGAATAAAAAATAAATTCTCAGAGCTGGAGAGATTGCTCAGTGGATAAAAGTGCTTTCCATGCAAGTATGAAGACATGAGTACAGGTTCCCAGAACCTACAAAAAGCTTCTGTCTCAGACGAACTAGAAGGCAAGGACTGCCCTTGTCCTTACAATTCCCTGTGAGCCCTGTGAGCCGAGGCATGCGTGTACTTACACTCTGCTGCAAGAACCTGCACATACACACAGACAAACCCACATAAGAGATAAATAAAAATGATGTTGTGTCTTTGAAATATTTTATGGCTATTTATGTATGCTTTGTTCTGACAGGAATTTTAAACTTGAGTTTATAAGATTTTTCTTTCTTCTGTTAGATTTAAAATTATTGTTTATGACATATTTATTTAAAAATTTTCAGTACTCAAAGTCTCACTCCTTATGTCATAAACAAGTGATCCAGTGGATTAAGTATAAAATCTGATAGTTGATGGAAGAGTAGATTTGGAGCAGAATTATGATCAGATAAGCTCCATAATCTGTTAAAGTTTCCCATGTGATATTTCTGAAAATGATTTATGGCTAAAGATGGATCTGCTGGAAATACTACCACTGCAAGCATTATTAGTGCAATGACTATCACTTACATTTACTGACAATGATAATAATTCCCCATGTTTCCTTTTCAAGATTAGTAGTAAATTCTAGCTGAAATATAGTACAGGTAAAAAATAGTTTGGCAATATTTTTTTCAAAAAATGCGATTTCTAATTTTAAAATAGTAATTTTTATTTAGAGAATTTATTGTAAGGAGAGTTTACAGAAACTGTAGGTATAAAGGAAAATTCCATACCAGTAGCTGAATTTTAATTCTTGAGATTTTTTTTTTTTTTTTTTTTGGTTTTTCGAGACAGGGTTTCTCTGTGGCTTTGGAGCCTGTCCTGGAACTAGCTCTGTAGACCAGGCTGGTCTCGAACTCACAGAGATCCGCCTGCCTCTGCCTCCCGAGTGCTGGGATTAAAGGCGTGTGCCACCATCGCCCGGCAGTTCTTGAGATTTTTTAAAATGGTTTTAATTTTTATGTTAAATTACGTAAGAATACCCTGTTTGAGTGCTGCCGAACACCCAGTAACCATGTGACCATTTATGGCATGGGAGAGCCAGTGTGGAAATGTGTGACATTGCCTTGACTTTTCAAGCAAGTGGTCACTTAATCTAGATTCTCTCCAGAACTACTTGGCTAGCCTGGAACTCTCTGTGTAGACTAAGCTGGCCTCAGATTCAGAGTTCTACCTGCTTCTGCCTGCTTGCTGATTTTGTTTTAAAAATGTTTGTCCTTAGGCTTCAAAACAGAGATAGTGCCTCAGAAATTCCATTTCCTAATCTGAACTCTTTATACTCGCCCTTACCCCAAAGGCGAATTAGTAAGTAATAATCTACACTCTTTAAATTTGCTACTCCTTTGTTACTGCTCTGGACTCTCACCTCCAGTATAACTAAAAGGAACACTTGTTAGTGTAGTTGAATAGTGAAAACTTTATCATTGGCAAAGGATTGTTATTTAGCAAATGTTTATTTTTTGTTTTTATAGTGTTTGGGATTAAACCCAACCTTTCATAAACTAGGCTAGTACTTATTACATCCCCAACCCTTAATCAGATGCTTATTATGTATTTTATCCAAAGAATTTTATTATCCTATGAGCATATTAGTGTAAATTTTTGTTAATAATACTCTCCGCATTCTATTGACTGGCTGGTGTGTGAAACTCTACATTGTAATGTTTTGAGATTTTTCAAGAATAATGAAGTAATTCTTAATTGTTTATCATTGATCCACTACAATGTATAATGATACTAAAAATATTTTTATTTATATGTGGTTTTAGGAGCCATACTGAGTTTGAAGTTGGCTGTTTTTATTTGGATTTCACTGTCTTCCAGACATTGTATATGTCTAGCATGTTTCCAGTGTTATCATATTCATAAGTAATGGCAAAGCTAATGCCGTGGATAATTAGAACATTTAGCAGGTTTGGGTTCTGTTACTATTTTATAGTGAAAGGTTGTTCAGTATTAAAATTATTATATGCCCAGAGGAGTTAAGGTAAATTGATTTTGTAGAGAGTGAAACATTGTAAATTTCTATATTTGAGGTCTTAAAAGTTCATGGTCAGCTTTTGTGCTATCACGTCACTAGGTGGAGATGTAGCATTGTTTAGTAGACTAGCCAAAGCTAAAGAACTGCTTCTTGATTTCTCTCCCTCCCTCCCGTTCTCCCTCTCTGTTCCCCCCTTTTAAAACAGAAACATTTTACATGTAATTGATGAGGTTTGTTATGTCCTAGGGAAAAAATTGCAAATTTAGTGTAGTTTAATATTCTAACCTTTTTCAGGGTAAAAATTCAACCCCACTTGAATGTCTATTTTCACACTTCAAATTCTCTTAAAAAAATTTTCTGTTCTTATTGCTATTTACTTTTTGTTTTCTGTTTTATTATATCTTGTCATAATTGGTCTGATGTCTCTGTCTTTGGTGCTTAATTCTGAAAGTTTAATCCGATATGAATTTTTAATGTGGCTACAAATAAAATTTGATAATTAGAATACAAAATTCTAATTTGGTAGCAACACAAGGTAAATGAATTTATAGTCTGAACATACCCTGTTCTTATCTTTGTATCATTTTAAGATGGTAATGTCAAATTTTAACATTTCAATTTTCTAGAGCCTATTCTCTCCCTTCCTTTTCTTCCTTTTTTCTCTCATCTCTTGAATCTTAATTAAGCAAGTATATTCTCTATGCACAATGTTGGTTTGTCTCCAGGAAGTTGGTATGTAGCTGAGAACATTGTAAAATCTGACTTTTGGAAACTGTAGAGGAAAACTAAAAGTCTTGTTCTGATAGCCTGACAGTTCCCACGTGTTTCTAATGAGTTGTCATAGAGTTCATCACTTTCCTGTTCCTAGGCACATGAGAACCAAAAGCATCAACATGAATATTCCCAGCAGTATTTATTCACAATAGCAAAGCAGTGTAAAGAACTCGAATGTCTGTCAGCTGACAAATGGATGAAGAAAATGTGATTTAGTTGTACAATGCCTATTACTGAAAATATTTTTATGCTGTGAAGTTTAATTACATGGAATGGACTACTGGTTCATGTTATAGCATAGATGACCCTTGAATACATTGTCTTAGTTTCTTTTTCTTTTTGCTACAATAAAATGCCCTAATAAGAGCAACTTAAGGGAGAAAGGGTTTATTTGGCTCTAAATTTCAGGTTACATTCCATCATGACAGGGAATTCATAGTAGAATGTAGTCACATTACACCCACAATCAGCATCAAAGAACGGTGAACTAATGCTTGCATGCTAATGTTTAGCTTGCTTTCCCTACTCCTAGGGAATGGTGCTACTCACATTGGGCAGGTCTTCCTGCCTTAGTTAATATAATCAAGATAATCCCCCCCCAAGCCATTCCTATAGACCAGTGTCCCTCATTGAGACTCCTTTTCCAGGTGATCCTAGATTATGTCAAGTTTACAGAACTAACATCACAAACACTATGCTGAGAGAAACCAGTCACCAAAGACCCGTAACACAGGATTCAGTTACTTGATCTGTCCAGAATGGTAAATCAGAAGAAGTAGGAAGGTGGTTGCTAAGGGCTGGGCAGAGAGGAATGACCGCTGACAGCGTGGGGCATCTTTTGCAGTGATAAAAATGTTAATTGTGATCAGGAGTGCTCAACTTGGCCGATAAAACTAAATACCACTGAATTCCATGTTCACTATAAATGGATGAATTGTATGAGAATTATGTGGAAAGGGAGTTAACAAAAAGGTGTGATACCGAGCCAAGAAAAAGCGATTGATCATCTAAACAGGCACTAGATTAAGTTTTGTGTAACAGTGTAAAGAAGTGAAGACCCAAATCTTCCTCTCAGATTGGTTTTTGCTTTTTTTTAATGGTTTACGGTTCAAGAGAGGTTAATACATATGTCATAAAGCACTTTACTTTCTTAATTTATTCCTTACCTTTTAAACTTTCTACAACCCGTCTTCTAGTCATTTTTGCCCCTCTTGGAAAGCAGATTCTTGCACCTTAGGGTTTATATCAGCTCTAAGCTCTTATCCTTAACCAATTAAGGAACGTTTTAAAGACAGCAGGTGGTTCTGATAACTTAAATTCTGTGTTTCATGAAAATCTGTTCACTCAATAAGTTCTTATTGATGTTTCATTTGCCAGTAACTGGAAAATCATGGCTGTTGGCATTTTTTAAGATTTATTTTATGTGTATGAAATGTTTTGCCTCCATACATGTATGTATGTGTATCATGCACATACCTGGTGCCTACAGAGGCCTTAGAGGGCATCAGATCCCCTGGAACTTGAGTTATGGATGGCTGTGAGCAACCATGTGAGTAGAAAGTGTACTGGGGCCCTCCATAAGAGCAGAAAGTGCTCTAAACTGGAGCCACGTCAGCAGCAGCGCACAGGTCTCTCCAGGTCTGACTGTTGCCAGTTTTTTAAATTACAGAAAGTATTATTTTGCTACAACTTATTCAGATTCTGTGATGTTCAGAAGTATAGTCCTAGGTTTATAAATTTTCATGAAAAATCTTTTAGCAGTGTGTTTAAAAGTTAAATACTTGTGTGTTTAGCATAAACCTAGCTTTATTGTTACTAATCTATGGTTTTGATATGGCTGTGGTTGTTAACATTTAGTAAAGATAAATGCTTTAGTCATAGTAATGTGTTGAAGCCAAAAGACTGCTTTAAAAGATGGCATTTGACTCATTTAAAGTCAGTGTAGACAAATTGACTTTATTTCTGTATATACACCACATGCTTATATCTATGGAATTCAACAATTAAATTTCTCTTACAGATGCGTATGAAACAGCAAAGCTGCTCTGTGAACAGTATTACCTGGTTGCTCCAGAGCTGGAAGTAGAAGAATTCAATGGTAAAAGACAAAACATTTTAGATGTGATCTGACGGGGTCAGGGTGGTATGGCATAGACAAGAAAAGTATTTTAATGTTAAGTACAAAGAAGGTGACTTAAATGCTGATCTTATACGAGCTTTTTTTCCCCCAAGAGATCCTAAAATGGTGTGTGTTTTCATCTTCATGTCCCTTCAGTGTGGTTCCTATCCCTTCAGTCATCTGGGATATTACTGTAAGTCAGTTTTGGATAGGAACGTGCAGCATGGCTTGTGTTCAGAAGCCTTTTCCGTTCACCTTGGGGCTTAATCTTGTGCTGCCACCTCTCCTTTTATATTCATTTTTTTCTGCTTAGCCTCCAGTTCCCACTTTTCATTCTTACAGGGAAAGCTGTCTCAAAGGAAAATTCCTGATGTCCATATAGAGTTCTGTTGACATTTGTTAAGTGCTGCTTCAACTAATGGTGTTTCAGGCAACGACTGCAAAACAGACTTTATTATTTCTTGAGACTCAAACATAAAAACCTCAGACCACATTTTTCTGTGACTTTTAAAAGTGTACTATTAGAGGGAGTATTCATATTCCGTTCATCTTATTTTAGAAAGCCGACAGACCTCTATTACCACCCACTAAGGCCGTGAGGCCCAGGATAAGGGAAGACTCATAGCCAAAACATTTAACATGATTTTAAAAGGGAGAAAAGAAATGTCAACTGTAATATTTCCAAAGAATACACATAATTGAGCAAGCCTTTAGATGACTCCTAAAGAATGTTGTTTAAACTTAAAAACAAACTGTAAAATGTTTTTCATTTCCTTGAGACTTGGACTGAAAAGGTTGAATTGAATTCTGAGGCTGTTTATACTAAGCACTCAGCTTGCTTCTCAGGCCCCATTACAGCCAAAATAAAAGAATCTCATAAAAACAGTGAAAGAAGCCAAGGAGGCTTATAAGTGGACCTCTGTATTAGTCCCTTCAGACTACTAAACACAATCATCAGACTGGGCGGATTAAATAACACATTTGTTTCTCATGTGTCTAGAACCTGAGAAGTACAAGATTGTAGTGCAAACAAATTTGGTATATGGCAAAGGCCTATTTTCTGACTTGCGGGTGATTTCTTGCTGTGCCTTTACATGTAGAAAGGGGCAAAGAGCTCCCTGGGGTCTTTTTTGGAAGAACAGTAATCTCATTTGTGAGGTTCCACTCATGAATAGTCAACTCCCAAAGGGCCCACCTCTGAGTACCATCACTTTAGGAACTAAGTTTTCATTTGTGAATGGAGAGAGATATAGACACTGAATTCTGGAAACCCATAGTGCTAACTCCTGGGAGAATCCAGCTGGCTAAAAGTATGCTGGCTGGTAGGACAGGGCAGGACCAACCAGAAAGGAGTAGACTGCTGCCCAGATGGCAACCAGTTTTTCCAGTTAAGCGAAGAGGGACTGTGGGAGCAGAGCTGAGTGATGCAAACAACTAGAACAGAAAGGAAGCCGAAGGCTAGAGATTAGCTAGCTGAAAGCTGACCTAAGAGGAGTCTGGAGAGGTGACAGAAATAGCTTACTCCGTCTAGGCTCTGCCACCAACAGCAAAATGAGTGCATGTTGTTCAGAAACAACTTACAGGTCAGGTTATGTGAATAATAGCGCTCCAAAGTAAAGCCTTCATTTTAGCATTTGAAGGCCTCTCTGGTCGTAGGATACCTTACACAGCTTATTCTAAAACCAGTGAAATCTTGATCAGGTTTTAAAAACTCCAAAAAGACTTCTTGGTATGGACGATCTCCAAAGGGAAAGGAACACTAGCTACCTCAAGTGATGAATTCAGTTTAACTAAACAAAATCACAACCATGGTATGTCAGACTTTGGCAAAAGCCAATAATGTGAACAATACCTAACTAGTGTTGAGTTTCTCTGATGTACTTTTACTGCCAGAATATGTCCCTCTTTACCAAATTCTGAGAAAGAATTATTTTAAACCCCAAATTCTATGTCTAGGTAAACCTTCAACTGAGGCAGGGTTATCAGGGCATGCCCCAGGAACCTACTTCTAACTAGGTCCCACCTCCTGTTTTCCACCCTCTTCCAGTCATTAAATTACGAATCTGTCAGTGGATTAAGCATTCGTTGTGTCAGAGCCTTCTTGATAAATTCATTCACTTTGCTAGAGCCTGTCATCTGGCAGCTAGTCAAGCCTTTCTCTGAGTCTTTGAGCGAATCGTTGAGATTGAAAGCATGGCACTGCAGTTGAGTCTCGTTTACCACCCTTCTCAGTTGGTTCATATTCTTACAGATGCCTCCTGGAATTGATGGCGGATTTGTTTCCCCCAATTTGAAAAATTTCAAGTAATGTTTGTATGTTCATGTGTAATTTTCAGAATACCATGACACAAATGATACTATTCCCGTTTTGCTGAACAAAGTTGGGAAGAATTTGACTGATTTGCTCAAGGTCACTAAGCCACAGTGAATGAAGTTGACTGTATGTTTATTTTATTCTGAAGCATGTTTTTGCTCGGTTATGTCACTAAATATGGAACTCTTTTTAATGAAGGTTTGTTTTATGAACTTGAAAAATAGAATATAAGCATCATTTTTTATTTTCTCCCACCTTGGGTCTTTATTCATCGATGGTTTGTCTCTGTTTCAGCCAAAGCACCAAACAAACCCATTCAGGTAGTTTATGTGCCCTCACATCTGTTCCACATGCTGTTTGAGCTGTTCAAGGTAAGTGGGCTTTTAAAGCATGGGAAGAAGTCTTCATTTGAAATGGCTTTGATTCTGGGCATAATGGATTCATTAGATTAGCATAAGAAAAAGATTTTGCATAACCATTTTAAAAGTCTATTTCTGATATCCTGTGGGCTTTCTAATCTGTAAACTGTGAGATAAAAATTGCTGTGTACAGTATGGTTTTGTGAATACTAGTACATAGTGATTTTGAAGCTTAATTGCACTTTGGTAACTTCACATCAAATCCATACTGTTTTTCTTTCAGTTAGGAGATTAGAGATGCTTTTTGGGTTTTCAGGTCTGGCAAAGGTTTTATTGTTTATTACCATACCCAAATAAACACACATTTCTATATATCTATGCTTCTGAAGCATTAACTGTGTTAATGCATAGTTGTTTCAGTTCTGAGAGATCCTGTAACTGTTTCATAATTTGAATAAATTCAGAAGACCTGATAGAGGCAGGAGAGGAAGAGTGTGGAGCCTGGGCTAAAAAGGAAAGAAAACCTTTTTTATTTTTTAGACTCTATGGCCCAAGCTGTTGCTTTTGGTTACAAAGTATCCAGTGATATTTGTGGTAGCAGTGTTATTTGTACAGGATATTTGAGCTAGCATTTCATCACTTTTAATGGATAAAACACTAAAGGATCAGTTGTGCTGTTGTCTTCCCAAGAGCAAGACTGCTTCTGGTATGTCACTAATGTAGCCATTCGATTGGGAGCGCTCTCTTCATTTGTGACCTTTCAGACTTTCTTTTAATGGATATTTTATCCTTTTTTTTTCAATCCAGTGGTTAATTTTTGTGGGAAGTATGGATCTCTTCACTTTCTAAGTGATAAGTAGGGCTTCAAGTGCAGCCTCAGTACATGTCAGTCATACAAACATTCTTTGTGGTTGAACTGAATAATTTTAAAACCCTAAAGCCACCAGGCTTGGAAGCATGTGCCTTTAATTCCATTACTGGACAGATAAAGACAAGTGTATCTCTCTGAATTCAAGGCCAGGCTAGTCTACATAGTGAGGTCTGTTCTCAGCTACTCCCCTCCCCCCAAAAAATCTGTAGAGCCAAACAGAAGGCAAGAAGAATGTTTAACAATTAAGTGCAAAATAGAACATCAGGAAAATTTTCTGATAGAAAAAAAATTCATGTAAATCTTATTAATAATAGCTCCACAAAATAATCATCACATGCACGTAAGCATGTGCTTCTTTCTGTTTTGAAATTGTGGTTTTTCATGACTAGGGCTAGCTCAGTGGTGGAGTACATGCTTAATGTGCACCAAAAGTAATGAATACACTTAACTTAATTGTGCTCCATGAATCAGAAGCATGGTTTCTCAAGAAGAGCTTATTGTTTCAGAACTCAATGAGAGCAACAGTTGAGCTACATGAAAATAGAAAAGAGGGCTATCCAGCTGTTAAAACTCTCGTCACTCTGGGTAAAGAAGACTTGTCCATTAAGGTAAGCTTTTGTTTCCATTTTACTTTAATCATCAGTTGATTTAATAGTATGTATTTAATATTATGAGAGGGAAGGAAAGAAAATTGACATTTCTTGGGTGTGCTATTTGTGAGTAAAGTCATGTATCAGTGCTTTCTTAGCAATGAACTGAACACATACATAGTGGTAGTCCCATAGTTGCTGTTGTTTAGTGACTTTGTAGTCATTGTGTATAAGCCTTCGAAGATAATTGCCTGATGGCATTGACTAATGGCACATTTCTCAGTGTGTCCCTGTCATTTATGGAAATGTGACTATTTAGTGCTGGATTCTTGGCTTTGGTTACCTTGCTGACTGTACTTGAGCAGGACCTCAGTCCCAAGCCTATCAGATTTGCTGCATTGCTGTCTCCTTTGTTTACATTGTCCCCAAAGGAGCCACTTTCTCACTTTAGAACCTTCTAGCATGTGCTTTATTTAATGAACTCTCCTACCCTCCTTAAGCACAGATTTGACTCCCCTTTTGTTTTTAACATTTTGTGCACTGCAGATAAGTGACCTAGGTGGTGGAGTCCCACTTCGGAAAATAGACCGTCTTTTTAACTACATGTATTCAACTGCCCCTCGACCCAGCCTGGAGCCTACAAGAGCTGCTCCCTTGGTAAGCATGACAAACTGCTGCAGAAAGAAAGGTCTTTAACATAGGGCTAGAGAGTTTGCCATCTTCTTAGGTGGTTGTACTAGCTTTACTTAAACGGGGCTGTTTCTGGTATAGGTGGGAGCATAGGCATCTTTTTGCCTTACTGTTTAGTTTGTAAGTTCTTTGGACAAAGTGCTTTTCTAATTTTTCTAAGAAACACTCCAGGCTGGAGAGATGGCCCAGTGGTTAAGAGCACTGCTTGCTTTCCTAATGGTCCTGAGTTCAATTCCCAGCAACTAGATGCTAGCTTACATCCACCCATAATGAGATCTGGTTGCTCCCTTCTGGCCTGTAGGCTTGTATGTTAAAAAAAAGAAACACTCCAAGCTGAGTGTTACACTTCCAAATACAGTGTGTAAAAGCTTTTCCCTGTGGTAAGATTGCTGCAGGAGGGCAACTTGTTATCATGCAGCACCCTCGGGGAGGTGGCCATTACCCATGGGTGAGCAGAGAAGACTGGGGAGAGTGTTTGGCTACAGTTTAGTAGGCGATGCTTTAGTGCTGCGTACCTTACAGCCTTTGGGTCACCACTGTCAAATTTGTTTATATAATTAAAATATTTATATAACATTAACATTTCATAATCTAAGCATAAAACATATAGGTGATGTATGTATTTTCAGAGGTCTCTGTGTAGCACTCTAGAAATAACCTTCAGCCTTATTCACTCAGTGAGAAAAGCCTCTGGTTACCATGGTAGCATTTATTCCTGGTAGGGCCACACTCTCTTCCCCTGCTGAGTGTTTCTAATTGACAAACAACAATTGAACCCTTTGTCATTAAACACAGCAATGTATCTATCAGTCTGCAGAATGGCTCAGGGTATAAATTAAGTTTCATTTTAAAGTCCTACCTGAGTGATAAGCACATAAGATTATATTTTATTTGTATGAATAAAATCAAACACCTTGCATTGTTATTTGAGGCAGAGTTTGTTAACTCAGCATGTGGAAAACTGAGGAAGTCATTTATACAGAATTCAAGAAAATTCATAAAGATCAATTTGAAGTAGTATTATGTTGACCAGGGTCTGGTACAAATTTTGCATTTTTCCAGTTGTTTAAAAATAATATGGATTATCTATTCCAGTTTTTAAAATAGCGTCCTGTAGATAGCTTTATGCCATATTTGTTTGTTTGTTCTGGGAAACAGAGGACTCTCAGAGACCATTATTTATCCAATCCACCTTCCCATTACATAAATTTGGAAAAGGATCAAAGCAAATTAATGCTAGAGCTGGTACTGGCTGCCTGTGAACTTCTAGCATACTGTTGTGGCTGCTCTTGAAGAAATGCTTCCATCAGCATCTCTCCCAGTTAATAAACTATCCTCACCTCTGAAGTGGGCACATGGCTGTGTCGTACTAGAAAAGAGTTTCCTTTCCAGGTGGCTTACTTTTACCCATCTGTATCGTCCTTCATACATTTTTTAATTGAACAAATTTTAAACTGTTTTCATGTATAAGTGTTTGCCTGCATATTTGTATGTATGTGTACCTCATGCATGCCTAGTACCAGAGAGCATCAGATCCTCTGGAACTGAAGTTATGGATGGTTGTGATCAACCATGTGGGTGGTGGGAAGGGTCTTCTGCAAGAGCAGCAAGTGCACATAACTGCTGAGCTATCTCTGGAGCCCTAAATCCAGACTTTTCAAATTTTATCTGTTGTATGTGTGTGTGGAAGGCACAGTTTAATTGAGTTGAATTCTCTCCCCTTACCTGTTTGCTGATTCCAAGGTTTGAACTCAGGTTGTCAGGGTTGTACAGCAAGTGCTCTGACCCACTGTGTCTTACCAGCACAAGAGCAGAGTCTGACGTCATCCAGGTGGGCTGAGAGCTAGCTGAAGCTAGGATGACCCTGAACTCTTGATCTTCCTGCTTGGAGGACAGACCTGTGTGCCACCTTATTTAGGAGGTGCTGGGGACTTGAATCCAGGGCCTTTGGTGTGCTAGGCTGGCACTCTACCCACTGAGCTCCAGCCCCAGGACTGAAATGATTTTAATAACACCAATGTATTCATAAGTTACCTGTTTATTTAGATAAATTTATAGGTGGTACCTTTTATTACTAGAAATGTTACTAGTCTGTGTCCTATTGATATTGCTGGGCGGGCGATGTCTATGTATACTGTAAAGTATTGAACCGTCCTGCCTCTATTTATGCAATGGAGCCAAATGATACTTTGAGAAGCAGATTTGTCCCCGACAAGGTACAGCCTGAAAGCTGTTTGGCACAGCATGAAACAGCTTAGACCATGGCACAGCGTGATCCCCCACATGTCGAAAATTTCCTGTTTTGGGAGTATCTACTCTGCCTGTTAATTCTTTGATATTTCGGGAGATCAGAGGACAACTCTGTGGAGTCAATTCACTGCTTCTATCTTTATGTGGATCCCAGGTGTTGAACTCAGGTCCTCAGGTTTGTCAGCAAAACTGAGTTTTACTGTGTGATAGATAGTACAAAGAGGTAACCTTTATTATGCCATGGAATCCTTATGAGCTCGGAGGCAAGCTTTTCATCTCAGGTGAAAAAAGTCTTAAAGAAGTTGAGTGAACTGCTCAGTCACACAGAAACAGAGATTTCAATTTAGATCTGCCAGAGTCAGAAGCCTGTGTGTCCCTAACCCTATAAGGCGCTGTTCCTGATCCAGATTTAATCCAGTGTTAAAGCTTACCTAATAGCATCTCCCCATACCCACCTGTGGCCGACTACAAAGTCACTGACTTTAGTATTGTTCTTATTCTTGCCAACATTTGTGACCTTTAGTTTAAAAAATATATTGACTGTCACTTTGATGACTTTAAAATATAGGAAGGTACTAAATTTTTTATTTCTGTAAAACTCATTTACTGTATTAACATGCTGTAGCTTTTCCAGATCCTTAAGAAGGAACCTCTAAGAAATTTTTTCAGTGGCTTAGTCTTGTTATTAACAAATTTCAACTCTTGTCAGGCATTGGAAGTGAATGCTTTTAATCCCAGCACTTCGGGTGGCAGAGGCAGGAGTTTGAGACCAGCCTAGGGTACAGAGCGAGTTCCAGGACAGCCAGGGCTATAAAGAGAGACTCTGTCTTGAAAAACCACAAAAAAGGAAAGAAAAAATTCAACTCTTGTGCTATTAGTTCTCATCTCAGACAAGAGAAATCTGATAAAGAAACTTGGAAGTAAATATGGTTTTGCGTTTTCATCAGAACAATTTCTACTTGATTGGGCATTCACTTTTTATTTAAGAATTTTGTACTTTTATCACATTCACTCCGCACCCCTCCTATCCCTACTCTCTCCACTTCGCACCTGTATCTTTTTTTTAAAGAAGGCATTATCCATCATCTTAACAATCCTCTGGCCACCTTTCCAAGATGCTCCCTGAGCCCTAAGTATAGGAATTGTGTTATAGGCTTATCATGTTGGACAAGCACCCCATGGTCAGTAGCTCTCCGCATTTTTACCAGTTGTAGCTTTCCATAATGGTGTCTGTCTCCTGCAAACAGAAGCTCCTTTGTTGAGAGGTAAGAGCTACACTTACCTGTGGATGTAAGTGTACACTTTTTTAAAGTAACCCTTGGAGCTCAGGGTTGTTCAGTTGGTGGAGTCCTTGCCTAGCATGCATGGAGCTCTGGCTTCCATCCCCAGCACTGCAGAAACCAGGCATGGTGGTTCATGGCCTAAAATCCTAGTAAGTCGGAGTTAGAGGTAAGAGGAACAGGAGCTCAAGGTCAACCTCAGATATATAATGAGTTTAAAGCCAGCCTAGGATATATGAAACCCTATTTCAAAAAAAGTTACCTTGACTTTATGCTCAGACATAGGTTAAAATTTACTTTAAAATGCTTTATAAAAAACAATCAAAAATGAATTTTTTTCTGTTACCCAAACTTAACAATTTTTTAATAAAATGGGGAATTTATTAGTCACAGATTATAGACACAGTGTTATTTATAAAGATGGAGTTACTAATTCATTTGATTTGACTTCAGGGATTCATTTTAATCTTCTGTAAATGGTCTCATTCTATTAATTTTCTTTTCTTAATAGGCTGGATTTGGTTACGGCTTGCCAATTTCTCGTCTGTATGCCAGATATTTTCAGGGAGATCTAAAACTATATTCCATGGAAGGAGTGGGTACTGATGCCGTCATTTATCTGAAGGTACTATGTTTTGTTTCTGTTAGTGACTTTTTAAAGGTGCAAGTACCCATAACTAGTTGAGAAGAGCACTGTATCGTCTCCTACCTTGAGATCAGATTTAGGAAACCATGCTATGCCTCATGCTGATATTATGCCCAAATATAACAAAATAAGAATCATAGAGGTATAAACCTCAAACTTTTTGATTTTTTTACAACCATAGGTCTAAATTAGAATTTTTCAAAAGTATATGTTCATTGAAAAACCTAGTTTAAAAGAAAGCCAATTTCCAGTAATCTGAAGTCTTCTAGTCTTTTACTTTAATTTCTCAAGTTGTAAGAATCCAGTAATGCAGCCGGGTAGTAGTGGATCATGCCTTTAATCCTAATACAGGGGAGGCAGAGATAAAGCAGACAGATCTCCTGAGTTCAAGGCCATCCTTGTCTGCAGAACAAGTTCCAGGATGGCCAGGGCTTCATAGTGGAGCCCTGTTTCACAAAACCAAAATAAAAGAATTCAGTAATGATAATATGTTTATATAAAAAGATCTGTAGATCTTTATATCAAGCGAAGTAACTCAGAAACACAAATAGTGGATGCATGCTATCATGCAGGTCTTAGCTTTTATTTTGTGTATATGTGAGTTTATGTACATATGTGGAAATGAGCATCAGAGCATCAGTATGGTCACGAAACTATAAAGAGGTCCACGAGAGAAGAGAGATTTTGAGGATGGCTGGGAGGATAGTAGAACAGCACATGGGAGCAGAAAACTACTAGAGCTGGAAGAGAAAAGGGAGATGGCAAGAGACTCAGAAAAAACAAATTACATACAGAAATTGAACTTTTACATTGTACATTGTTTTTTTAAATTAACAAAATCATAATAATGGTCATTTAAAATGTTTACCTATGAACTAAATTCTCTATAAGACAGTTTTTCTCATTTATTGGTGGCGTTAGATTTCTATTTCTGAATTCTAGAATTTTGGTATATTATTTCAATAGGCAGTAGAGGCATATAGTAACATTTAAAAGCTTGAAAGAGGGCAATGAAGTGTTTCACTGCTGGTACAAGCCACACTACTTGTCTTCAAGAGGTACTGTGTTTTTGTTTCTTACGAATCCTCCTAGAGTTGATTTTGGATTTTTAGGGACAGGGGATGTAGCTCAGTGGTGTAGATCTTCCTAGAATATACAGGCTCTGGGTTTCATTCCATTATCACAGAAGTAAAACAAATAAAAATCTGATAGAGGAGCTGGGTGTGGTAGCACACAACTCTAAGCCCAGCACGTGGAAAGCACAGGCAGGCTAGCCTGGTCTATGTAAAAACTTCCAGGCTAGGAGTACATAGTGAGACCCTGTCTCAAAAAATAGCAACATCAAAAAGCTATAATAGACTTGGTTCTGCATTTAGAAATAGATTTAAGAAATGAATCTTAAAGGCATTTCAGCAGCTTGGTTTTATCTCATAACTTTGGAATGTATCTTGCAGAACTTTCCACGTAAGTTCGCGCAGAACTGACTCATTCTTTTTAGCCATGCCCTAGTATATTACTGGACAAACTATCACAGTTTCACGCACTAGTTGGATGTCAGTGGATCTCAACATGGGCTTTGTTTGCTCTGATGCTAGGAATGGAGCCCAGAGCCTCCCACCATGCCACCACATGCTTTCTGTTGCTAAGCTCCATTCCCAGCCCCCAATGATGTGATGTTTAATATCGCTTGTTGGCAAATGTTTATGAGACTTTATTTCTTCTGGGGCTGTTTTAGGGCAGCAGTTGCCTATTAAATAAAAATGTTTGATCTAAGCTGTACTGTCAGTACTATGGAGTACTGCAAAGCAGTATTGATGGAATTACAATGTACTTTGTTCCTGTCGTATGTGTTTCAGTACTGATTTTGAGCGAGTGAGTAAGCACTTGATTTCACTCATTTAGAGAGGGCTCAGGATCTTCCTCTTAGCCAGTCTAAGTCCATCTGTAAAATAAATTTTAATATTTCTAAAACAAGAATGGTTACTTGTGTTTGAAAGAGTAAAATCTGTGAATTTTATGTGAGAAAACGAGTACCCTAGACCTTTGGTGTATATCCTTTTTCTAATAGGCCCTTTCAAGTGAATCCTTTGAGAGACTACCAGTTTTCAACAAGTCTGCGTGGCGCCATTACAAGACTACTCCTGAAGCTGATGACTGGAGCAATCCTAGCAGTGAACCGAGGGACACATCAAAATACAAGGCTAAACAGTAAGAAACCACTTTGGTTCCCATTAGAAAGTATCTGATTTGTCTCCAGAAAGTACCAAGCAGACAATTGAACAATATTTTATGCCGTACATTCTGTGTGGTTTTATCACTGGAAAAGCAAAGCGATCCTTAGAGAAAAAAGATTGGAGAAAAACTTTTATGCTGAGGAGAACAAACAAGAATTGGGTAGCTAGAGTCATCATTTAAATGGAAATTCCCACCAGCCTGGGAATTCTTGCACTTTGGAGGTATTGACAGTGAGCAGGGGCTTATTCTACTGCGGATGTTGTTTTCAAACAATTAACTTTTCAGTTTGTTGTGAGTCTTATAAATTGACAGAAAGATGTTTACAGAATTTTTGTGGGTTAAACTGAAAAAAAAAATGAAGCTGAAATGAATCAAAATGGACTCTATCCACACACTGAAGCATTATTTAGTCCTTGAAAAGAAGGGAATTCTGATACATGCTTCAACATAGATGAATTTTAAAGTCATTACTTGCTGTACAACAGGCCATACTCAAAAGCATAAATAGTACTATTCCACTTTTATGAGATGCCTAGAGTAGTCATTTCAGAGAGTCAGAAGGTAGAAGAGTGGACTCCAGGACTTCGGTGAAGTGGAATGAGGAATTGTTACTGAGTACAGATTTTCTGTGTGTGATGGTGAACAGTACTCGGCATAGGGAGTGGTGATGGTTGTGTAATAGTGTGAATATGCCCAAGCAACTAGCTGTTCACTCAAAAGTAGCAGGCAGCTCGTTCTATATTATGTGTAGTTTAACACTGTAAATGATCAAAACTGAAAAGTTGTTGCTCATACAACAGCTGTCATTGCTTTATGTTAATAAACTGTTGCTAGTTTATGTTTATAAAACAATCTAGTCTTTGGTTTCTAATTTTTCAATTTAAAATATTCTTTTATTAAATTATGTGTTATTAAAAACAAAACAACAAAAAATCTAGGAAATATTAAATGAAAAAAGAAAAGAAAATCATTGTATTTCCACAACTCAGACATTGCTATGGGTACAATTTTGTTTATATTATTTTAGATAATCTTCTATTTGTATATGTATGTATTTTCTCCACGTGAGATCATTTTTCATACTGTTGGGCAATATGCATTTGTTTCATTTAACTATGTCTACTTTTTCATGTCAGTAGCTTTCATCTCATTAGAAATTTCCTGAATTTTCCAAACTGGGATCCGTTCCAGAACTACATGACATATCTGGATATTCTCTAGTTGTTTTTAATCTAGAAAGTACTGTTGATGAAAGACCAGGTTAGCAAAACATCCCTACCTTGATGTGTTTAGTTCTTCTCTGAAGTATCATTTAATTTGTTCCTTAGTCCCATATTTGATGGAAATCAAAGTTGTTGTAAAGGTTCTTTTTGTTTTTTTCCTGCTGGAATACTCCATCAGTACTGTTACAGAATTATATGTTTACACGCATGATTTCCAGTTGATCCATTATCGGTGATGCTAAGGGTACACCATAATTTAGGTGATGGCTATCGGATCTATCTATGGCAGTGGTTGGTGCTCAACCTTCCTAATGCTGTGACCCTTTAATATGGCTCTTCACATTGTGGTGACCCCCAAACATAAAGTTATTTTTGTTGCTCTTCTATAGCAGTAATTTTGCTACTGTTATGAGTCGTAATGTTAATATTTTTTGAAGGTAGAAATTTTTCAAAGGGATCGCAATCCATAGGTTGAGAACCACTGCCCTGTAATATAATTCAGCTTTTTTTCCCACTAGAACGTAATCCATATGGGGTCTTTTTGTTGTGGTGCTGTTTGTTTTTGGAAGGAGGTACATTGCAAAAGTATACTTACCCATCAGCCATTTAGCTAATGGTTTTTATCCTAGTTAACCATCTGGGCCTGATAAGAACACCCATGCTTACAGTAAAGCAAGTCCTACCCAGAGGATTTAGGCAAGGAAATGAATAAAAGATCCCCAAATTGGAAAGGAAGGAAAGAAGTCGAATTTTCCTAACTCAATATTTTATTAGTCTTTGTAAAATGATATAGTCTTAAAAAATCATTCTTTGGTAACTATTGACTAATGTTCCTCTGTAAAGTACAGCTCATTCTCAATAACAAAGGCCATACCATGAAATACAGTTCTTCTAGTATGTGTTGAACTTTTTCCTTTAAACTTAAAGGGAAAATTCAGTTCTCTTTTACCTCTTTTTAAGGTAAGCAGTTGAATTAAGTCATCCTAAAGCAGTGCTTCTCAGTCTTCCTAATGCTGGGACCCTTTAATACAGTTCCTCATGGTGTATGACCCCAACCATACAATTGTTTTCATTGCTACTTCGTAACTAATTTTGCTAATGTTGTGAATTGTGATGCAGATATCTAATATGCAGAATATCTGCTATGTGAGTCCTATGAAAGGCTGCTTTGCCACCCATGAATTGCAAACCGCAGCTTGAGAACCACTGCCTTGAAGGTTGAGACACGATGAGTTTTTTGGCCTGTCTTTTTGTTTTGTTTTGTTTTGTTTTGGGGGGTTGTCTTTTTTTTTTTTTAAAGACAGTATTTCTCTATTCAGCCCTGGCTGTCCTGGCTGTCCTGGAACTTACTTTGTAGACCAGGTTGGCCTTGAACTCTAAGATCCTCCTACCTCTGCCTTGTGAATACTGGTATTAAAGGTGTGTGCACTACTGCCCAGCTTTTGCCTTGTCTTTTTTAGCATTGTAGATTAATAGTGTTTTATTGTTTTATACATTATACCCAGCACTTATTTTTATTGACATATGACATATAGTAGGAAAGTCTACAAATCTGAAATCTATGTCTTGACACAGATTTACATCTCCCTTTCCAACACCCTGGAAGACTCCTTTCTAGCCAGACTATTCTCTCTTTACCATAGAAGATGCTTTCTGACCATCACTGAGGGTGCATTTTTTAAACATAAAACAAAAGAAACATGTAAGCATACACCCTTGTCATCTTTGCTCCTGTGAAATCTGTCCATGATATTACATGTCACAGTCATTGTCATTTCTGCTGCTTAAGTTGGCACACTTTTGAATAATGGCAGTTATTCTGAGCTTGATTTTTTGTCTTCTGTTGACTAAAGTGCATTAATTTTTCAACATTGTCCTACTTTCTTGTCTAACGCGATATCCTAAAATCTCAACTTCCACCCTCTATGCCCCTGTCCTGGAATCAACCATTTTATAGTTCTTTTGAACAGATATTGAAGCCTAATCTTGAAGGATAGGGTGCTCATTACACCTCTTCTAAGCCCTTTTTCTGGATGGAGGTTCTCAACACACACACACATATGTAAGTTCTTATTGATAGTTTCATTCTCTTTTAACATTGATTATTTCTCCCTAATGTGTTTTTTATATATACTTCTTACCATACAAACCTTGATTCTTAACATCTTTAACATAACAGAACAGAAACATTTGTGGGCAAATATAATTTATATAGCTTTGCAATATTTTACCGTATAGTAAACGCTGGTATTTTTTTCTTTACTTTTCCCCAACATACTAAATACCCTATTGATTATTTGTGCATTTCACACTGTGTGCCTTGATCACATTGACATCCCATTCTTCCCAGGTTCACCCTCCACCTTTGAGGCCTCCCCCCTAAAAGAAAAAAAATACACCAAGTCCAGTTTGTGTTGCCCCTATAGTCATTGGAGCATGGCCAAACTCCAGTGGCCAGCCCATTAAAGATGAGTTCTTTTAGCCCCCAGCCCCACCAGAAGCCGTCAACTGTGAAGAGCTATGCTGGTGTTTTCTAATGAGTAGTGTAAAGGCTGAAACACATCTGTGCTGCTCTTTAATCTTTCCTGCAGCTCATCTCAAAACAGGAAATTTAAAAAGGATTAAGTCTTTCATCATCCATCATATGATAGTAGCAGAAAGTTAGTCCTGCTGCCCCCACAGTGGATGGTTTTTCCCAGGGAAGAGTTGTGCTCTGAGCAGCTACATTGTGATTGTGTCTCTTGGTCTATCAGATCAGTTTAGTGTCATCCATCCCATTTTCAGTCTATGTAAGCCAAATACCTTGTTGGGCATCAGTGTGGCCAAGTAATTCACACGTGGAGTAATTTGGGTAGTACCAGAGCCATCTTTCATAAGAGTCATTTGCAGTGAGGAATGGTGGTTCTGACTGAAAGCTCTTTTCAAGGCCATACTTTAGCTGGGCCCAGTGGCGCAGGCCTTTAATCCCAGCACGTGAGAGGCAGAGGCAGGCGGATCTCTGTTAGTTCAAGGCCAGCCTGATCTAAAAGAGCTAGTTCCTGGACAGGCTCCAAAACTTCAGAGAAACTCTGTCTCAGAAACAAAAAACAAAACAAACATCGTTAAGTTCTACAAATAGAATAATGGTTAAACGTGGAAAAGGATCTCAGGAGAGGAGTGGGAATGGGAAAGTCAGTTCTTACACAGAAAGAGGTCTAAAACTGTATTCTAACCTTGAGTAACCCTAACTCTAACCCCTAACCCTAACCCTAGCAGTTTTATTGAGATACAATTCCCATACGGTACAGTTTGCTCTTTTGACGTACGGTTTAGTTGTTTGGGGTAGATTCAAAATTGACAGCCTTCACCACTGTTCTAAATTCAGGCTCCCTCAGGCCAAGAGAAACCTCGCATGCATTAGCAGCAGTCATTTTATAGTTCCAATCAAATTGTTTGTTGTTTTATTTTGGTTTTGTTTGTTTTGTTTTCTGGGACAGGGTCTCTCTATAGTGAGCTCCCTGACTGTTCTGGAGCTCACTATTTGGACCAGGCTGCAGGCTGCCCTCCTACTCACAGAGATCTACCTGCCTCTGCCTTCTGATTGCTGGGATTAAAGGCAGTGCCTCTGTGCCCAGCTTCTGATCAGACTTTCAGTCGTGAGTAAAGAACTGTTGCAAAGTTTATGTAAGTAATGAAATGCCACTTTTTCTATAGTAACTATAGAAAATAATTCTGAGTTAGGGCAAAGGTTTTGGAATTATCACTATAAATGTTC